ATGGAGGTTTGACCAGCCTGGGTGAGGGGCTGATGGCTGTTTTCAGGCTGGCCACACCCCCTTTAGGGTGGGGGGTCCTCACTGGGGTGCCTGGCCAGTCTGGGTGAAGGTCTGAGGGCTGTTTTCAGGCTGGCCAAGCCCCCCAGCGATGGAAGCTCCCAGCCTCTCCTTTTTTTCTTTTTTTTTTCTATTATTCTGGGATTTATTTACCTTCTATAATTGAAACTTTGTAGCCTTGAGTGGAGCTCAGAGCCAGCCAGGGCAGGCGAGTAGCTTGGCTTCCTCCATCACCAGGGGCAACCCAAGCCTCCTGCTCGCTCCAGCTCCATGGCCACGGCCGGCTGAAAGCAAGTATCTGGGGTGTATTTATCTTCTATAATTGAAACTTTGTTGCCTTGAGTGGAGCTCAGAGACAGCCGTGGCAGGCGGGAAGCTTGGCTTCCGCCATCACTGGGCAACCAAGCCTCCTGCTTGCTCCAGCTCCGTGGCTGCTGGCCGCCATCTTGGTTGGGTTTAATTTCATATAGTCACTCTGATTGGCTGGTGGGCGTGGCTTGGGGCATAGCAAAGGTATGGTCAATTTGCATGTTTATCTATTATTAGGTAAGGTGCTTAATTTTTTTAGTTTTTCAGGACAATTTGTTTTAGAAAGTTTAGATTTCAGAAGACCTTCAAATTTCTCTTACCCATTTCATGAAGCCATAAAGTGTTAGTTTCCTTAAATATTTTATATTTAAGCCCTAGCCAGTTTGGCTCAGTGGATAGAGTGTCGGCCTATGAACTGAAAGTTCCCAAGTTCGATTCCAATCAAGGGCACATGCCCGGGTTGTGGGCTCGATCCCCAGTGGGGGACTTGCAGGAGGCAGCCAATCCATGATTCTCTCTCATCATGGATGTTTCTATCTCTCTCTCCCTCTTCCTTCCTCTCTGAAATCAATAAAAATAAAATATTTTTTAAATATTTAATAGATTAAGTTTTTTTAAACTTTTTTTGCTTTGAAATTTAGAAACAAATTTTATTTAAGATCTGAAATACAGTTCCTTAAATATCAACTTCTCCAGAAAACCGCGGCTACACAATAAAGCATTGCCTCTATCATGTTAGAACGTGCATTAGACTCAAATACAAAAACCATGAGACAAACCACCATCCTTCAGCAATCTGAGCAAAGATAGAATGCCTAAGGAACAACATGGATGGACTTGCAGAGGATGGGCTGTTTTACTTCAAGCACCATTTAAAAAAGAGCACAGATGCATGGGTTTTCAGGTATATACATTGCGTAGAACCTTTGGCACTAGGAATCAGGGCATTTTTATCACGCAGCATTAACACATAATTAGAAAATTGTGTAGTGTCAAAGGGATAGAACCACCAGCATTCAAGCAATGTTGTCAACTATACAAGAAAATGTTCTACTGAATGTTTCTTTTTTTGTCTAATTACTGCATACACTGGTAGCAACTTTGAAATAAAAGGAGCTTGTACTCCTTTTATTTTCTGTTTAAAACAAAACAGAAAAACTGAAATATAAGCCCTGTTATACATTAACAATTTTAAAGGACATCAATTATACAAGAAAAAGACTAAGGACAAAATGAGTGTTTATGGATACCAGACATAATAACGAGTGCTCAGTAGACCCTCACAGGGCTTTGCGGTGGTACTCAGCCAAAGCTACTTTGTAATCACTGACAGTTAACAGAGATGCAGCATTCTTTGCCAGATATTTTAGGAAATCACACAAATAGTCCAACAATAATGTAAGGCTCTTCTCATCAAGGGGCATATATGCCAGAATTGCTCCAATTCTTACAAATAATCTCACTGTGGTGCTCCATAAACTTGGGACACGGGCGCATCAGGGTGAGCCAAGAGGATTTCGGCTCTTAAATTTGTAGAGCAGCTGAGTGCCTAACATCACGTTGAAGTATTCTTTAATTTCTGCAACAACTTCATTCACTGCGTATTCCTTATTGCTGACATTTCTCTGTGATTTCTTGCAGCTTGCATACTCTTCTAGAATGGCATCTACATTTTTCTTAGCAGGGAATTGAAATAGCTCCTTCTGCCTGGTAACTAAGTCCCAATCCTCAAAAAGCCATGGTTTTAATTCTTCAGGAATCTTCCCTGTAACATCCATTCTATTCTTTTTTTTTTTTTACATAATAAATGGCAGCAGCTGACATTTTAATAAAGATACAAACAATATAAAGTCTCTGTGCTCAGCTTTGAGGCAGAAGGTAGCCCCAGCCCAGACATTTCAACAAATATACACACTCACCCATTCTGCTCTGAATGGATGGGAGGTTAGCACTTATTTTTGATGTCACACCTGCCCTGACAACATGAGTAAGAAGTGCAATTATTACCACCCCCTCCCCAAATATGGCTTTATCTTTTGAATAATGTTTTTCCCCACATTTTAGGCCCTTACATTAAAAATTTAATCTAAAAGATATAATTTTAATTTTTTTTTTTTTTGCTGGGTCATATGCTAGTTCTGGCTTTAATTTTTCTTTTTTTTTTTATTGCTTAAAGTATTACAAAAAGTATTACATATGTCTCCTTTTTTCCCCCCCGCCCTTGACAATCCATTCTATTCTTAAATGCATCCTCACTTTCAACAGTGGGGTCAGCCCGGGCCCTTTTCTTCCGAGATGGCTGAGGGGCTTTGCTGGTACTGCCACCATCCCTGTTTCCAGGAGTCTTCTGCTTGTTCTTTCTTGTCTTCCCCACCAATCCAGAAGGGGGGTTCTCTACAGAGCAACCCCCTCCCCCGCCATCTGCCTGGGAGGGCTGGTTCCAGATTCTGCTGTGGACCAGCTGTCATCTTACTTCTCTGCATATTGCTTCTAGTTGGTTTTTTGAAGTTGTCTTCTTCTGCAGATTGTTGTCCACGAGTTTGCGAACCCTGCTTTCTGGAACTCATTCAACCCTGTTTTTATTTCAACCAATAATCCTCTTTCTTCTTGCTCTTCCAAGAACTCCTAGTGTTTTCCCAGTGAATCTTATAGATCTTCTGGGATTGTTTGAAAGGATGAGGTGGGAGACAACCCAAGATTCTGTAATCAGGATCGGATCTTCTGATCCTTACTATGCAGCACACTTAGCTTTTCTGATAATGGCCTGGAATGGGAATCCACTTCTTCCCAGCACTGGGCATGTGATCACCGCTGTCCCTCCAATAGCCATTAACCTTTTATTTTGAAATAATTTTAGATTTAGATTTACAGAAGAGTTACAAGATGGTACAGAGTTCCTTATATTCTTTCTCCAGCTTCCCCACTGTTAATATCATACATTTATCACAACAAAGAAAATAACATTATTATAATGCTATTAAATTAAATTATGCCCCCCCCCGAATTTTTCTGTAGTCCTTTTTCTGTTCCAGGAATAGATTTAATTTTTATAGATATCTACTTTCCCACATTTTTATTAAATCCAGAATATCATCAAATTCACAAGACTGACACTGATTTTTTTTTAATGTCACTAATTAGGTAGTATACCTACTGTCTCAAACATGTATTCATATGTCCTGTTTTTGTCTTTGCTTAAATATCTTTTTTTTCCCTGCCTAAATGTCTTGTTTGCACGGAGAAGTTACCAAATGGCATGGTGTACCAAGCATACCTCATGGTGCTTCCCCCAACAACGCTAAGGCAGAGAAGCATGGGGATTTAAAAAAATAATAATAATGATTATCCGCTGTAAAAACTCTATGGTCTTTGTTATGTTAGTGTCAGATTGTACTTGAGAAGTTAGGTACATGTGACTTGTCGCTAAAGATGAAATGCCCCCCCCCACACTGGCAGACAGGCTCCTTTTACCCAACCATGTGGAATTTGTCAACACTACGCTTGGGACTGAGGAAGCAAAGTCAGTGGACACACTGACCCAAGACATGACAGAGACACACCAACCAACAACACCTTCCACTTCAGATTGCTGAATCCACAGGTGTACTACCTGGCTGCTTGGTTAGTTCACAGTGAGAAGGGCCCTGGCCAGAGGGAGACTGCAGTTCTGCTCTGGCCCAGTGAGGCCATCCACAGCAGGGAAGCTCCTGCAGTGCAAAGTCCCAGCCTGTTTTTATCTTCATGCGAAGAGACAGGAGCAGACGTCTGCTCTATTTCATACTGAAGGGCACTGACTGGCAAAGGACATGTTTTGTCAAAAACAAGTTAAACACTGAAGAGGAAAAAGTGTGAATTTTTACCTTTCATCTCGAATGGTTATTGGCTGAAAAATGGATAAGTGGGCTGACACTTTGGAGTATTTAAATGAATGTAATAAAAAATTGCAAGAACTGTGTAAAAATGTATAGTGAGAGAATGTGTGGCTTTGCAGCACAATTCAATTTTGGATAAGTGAAAATAGGTTACTTAGTAATATGTTTGGTCAGTTTTACTTTGAATCCTAAACAAAAATTAACAAGAACAAATGCAACAAAATCACTGTGAAATAATGATTGGGAAAATAAATGGGATGGGGGATGGGGAGTCCTGGATGCATCATATTCAGAACTGGGAACATCCGTGGAGGAGAAGGAACCACTGGACTTGAAGGAGCATTGCTCCTTTGAAGATTTTTTTTGTTGTTAATCCTCACCAAAGGATATTTTTTTCCATTGATTTTTAGAGAGTAGAAGGGAAGGAGGGAGGGGGAGAGAGAGATACATACATGGATGTGAGAGCAACTTATCAATTGGTTGCCTCCCACATGCACCCCAGGGATCAAACCTGAACCTGCAACCCAGGTAGGTGCCCTGACCAGGAATCAACTGGCAACCTTTTGGTGCACGGGACAACGCCCAAGCAACTGAGTCATACTGGCCAGAGTGCTCCCTTGAAGAATTTAAAAGACTACATTAGCCCTAGCTGGTTTGGCTCAGTGGATAGAGCATCGGCCTGCAGACTGAAGGGTCCCGGGTTCAATTCCAGTCGAGGGTACATGCCCAGGTTGCTGGCTTGGTCCCTAGTAGGGGGCGTGCAGGAGGCAGCCAATCAATGATTCTCTCTCATCATTGATGTTTCTATTCCTCTCCCTTCCTCTCTGAAATCAATAAAAATATATATTTTTAAAAAGACTGCATTAGCCCAGCTGGCTTGTGGTTGAGCGTTGACCTATGAACCAGGAGGTCCAGGTTCGATTCCTGATCAGGGCTCATGCCTAGGTTTTGGGCTTGATCCCCAGTGGGGGTCGTGCAGGAGGCAGCCAATCAATGAATCTCTCTCATTGTTGAGGTTTCTGTCTCTCCCTCTCCCTTCCTCTCTGAAATCAATCCTTCCTATATAACAAAAGCCTAATAGGCAAATCGACCGAACGGCTGAATGACCTGTGGAAGGACCAGTTGCTATGACATGCACTGACCACCAGGGGGCAGACGCTCAATGCAGGAGCTGCCCCCAGCCAGCAGGCCCCAGGCCAGCCAAAGCAGGTGCCAGTATGGAGGGGGAGAGGCAGGGAAGGGTGGTGGCAAGCTGGCAGCACCAGGCCAGCCAAGGCAGGGGCCAGCAGGGCCCCCCACCACCACCATCACCCCGCTGGTCGCCCCACAGATTGGCCCTGATCGCCGGCCAGGGCCTTTAGTAAATTTCATGCACTGGACCTTTAGTAAAAATATACTTAAAAATAAATAAATAAAGACTGCATTAGCTGATTGAACAGTAAGAAAAGTTTCTGTCCATTACAGGAGCTGCATACCCTGCTCCAATTGCTGCCAAGGCCAGTGTGAACCAAGTTCTTTCCTAGTTTTTTGTTTGCTCTTGTTCACACAGCCTGTCATGTAGACGTGCTCCATAAATAAGAGGAATGAGAGGAGCAACCAAATGTCTCAGTCAAGAATTGCTTGGATCCCTGTCATATGGAAAATTCAGTATCAAAAAGTCATGTTCATCAAAATGAAAATGTTTCATCTGGAAGGTTATATGGGTCAATGTTAGTGTCTTTCCTAATACCTAGGGTTTTAATCGTGTGATATAAATGAAAACATAGCCCTTTTTCTCTGCCTGTCTGGCTCCTTCCAGTGCCCTTCCCATCCTCCCTGCAGCTGCTTTGGGGCTTTTGCCCTTCTGTGAAACTGCTGCTTCTCTCTCTTCCCTTCCATTCGGCTTCCTCGCTGTGCTCAGCACACAGACAGGCTCCTGCCCCTCTCTCTTCCTTCGTGGCTGCTCAGAGTCCAAGACCAGTGCTTTCTGGCAGCGCTTCTGCTGCTGCTCTGATGGGTGGGGCCCTGGCCCGGGTTTGAGAAGTCCTGGTAGGACAGATGAATGGAAGCTTGGTGCCAGGTGGGTTCCAGTTCCTCCTCTGAGCCAAGAGCCTCTGCCTCCAGGCCTTTACACAGGACACGTCCCACCCCTCAGTCGGCTGCAGTGCCCCTGCACCAGGACACTGTCCCTGAGGCCCCAGAAGACAACGCTTTTCTCTCCATTTCCTCCCCTGGAGACGGTCAGCCCCTGAGAGCAGGAGCCCCCCTGTGGTCCTGCCTGTGCTGCTAGTATAATAGGGTGTTCTGAGAGAGAGATGGGTGTGCATTGGCTCACATGGCAGTGTGCATTTCTGGGGCCTATGGTTGGGGGGTGCCACCAACAATCCCTACAGTAACAGCTTTTTACCATAGCATGCTTAGGATCATCTTATGGTTGACATGAAGACACTCCAACACAGGCCAGAACTGGTGAGGAATGACCTGGCGTGGGGAGCAGGGGGCAGGGCTGTATCTGCTGTTTCAGAAGCCTGCCCGCCTCAGGCCGGGTCAGCTCAAGTGGCCACAGTGTCTGCTAGGACCTCAACCAGGCGGAAGCACCCTCCTCTCCTGCTCCCACCACCACCTCAGGTGAACCCTTTTTTGGGCTTGGTCCATGGTAATTGTGTGCCATTTCAAGTCCTCATCTCTAGCCAGCCAAGGAAGAGCTTTGTTTTTATCTTTTTTTTAAGATTGAATTTAACAATTTTATTTATTTTTAATTTTTATTTATTTTTTGATCCTTACCCAAGGATATGTTTTAGTGATTCTTATTTATTTTTTAATCTTTTAAGAAATACATATTTTTATTGCTTTCAGAGAGGAAGGGAAGGGAGAGGGAGAGAGAGATAGAAATATCAATGATGAGAGAGAATCATTAATTGACTGCCTCCTACACGCCCCACACTGGGGATCAAGCCCACAACCCAGGCATTTGCCCTGACCAGGAATTGAACCATGACCTCCTGGTTTGTAGGTTGACGCTCAACCACTGATTTTTAAAATATTTATTGATTTTTTACAGAGAGGAAGGGAGAGGGATAGAGAGTTAGAAACATCAATGAGAGGGAAACATCGATCAGCTGCCTCCTGCACACCCCCCACTAGGGATGTGCCCGCAACCAAGGCACATGCCCCTGACTGGAATCGAACCTGGGACCCTTCAGTCTGCAGGCTGACGCTCTATCCACTGAGCTAAACTGGTCAGGGCTCAACCACTTACTTTTAAAGAGAGGGGAAGAGAGACAGAGACAGAGACAGGGACATTGATGTCTGAGAGAAGCATTGATCTCCTGTACACACGCCCACCTGGGATAGAACTCTCTGCCTAGGCATGCGCCCCTACCGGGAAGCGAACCAGCAAACTTTCCATGCACTGCGACACTCCAACCAACTGAACCACACCAGCCAGGTCTGAATTTAACCATTTTAAAGTGAACAATTCAGTGGTATTTAGGGAATTCACAGGCTGTACAAACACCACCTCTAGTTCCACATTTTTATGCCCCAAAAGGAACCCTGTACCCATTAAGCACTTGCTCCCCATTCCTCCCTCTCTTATGGTTTTTAAAGGTAAAATGCACCTAGTAAAAAATCAATACAGCCATAACGGGTTTGGCTCAGTGGATAGAGCCTCAGCCCGCAGGCTGAAGGGTCCTGGGTTCAATTCTGATCAAGGGCACATGCCCAGGTTGCTGGCTTGGTCCCCAGTAGGGGGCGTGCAAGAGGCAGCCAATCAATGATTCTCATCATTGATGTTTCTCTCTCCCTCTCCCTTCCTCTCTGTAAAAATCAGTACATATGAGAATATCCATAATGGGTAGTCTCCTTCCCCATCAGGTCCCCAGGGGGCTCCACTGTTAGCAGTGTTTCATGCATCTTCAGGTCATTCATCTGTGCACTCTTCCCCATCCTGCTGCTTGTCACTTAACTGCCTCTCAGATCGTCCACACCAAAATGTGTCCACCTGTTTCCATCTCAGAACCAGCTGTCCAGCATTCTGTGATTTAAGTACAAGCTAGATCTCTACCTTCCCTGCTCAAACCCTCTTCCTCTTTTAACACCTCATTCCTAGATCACTGCCCTGGAGGCAGTCCAAGCAGCCCAGCCCCTCCCTCCTTTGTATCACCTCTCCTGGTGACCACTTTTCCAGTTGAGGGTTGGGACAAGTCCAGCCCCCATGGCTGTGAGCTCCTAGAGCAGTGCTTCTCAACCTTCCTAATGCTGCGACCCTTTAATACAGTTCCTCATGTTGTGGTGACCCCCAACCATAAAATTATTTTTGTTGCCACTTCATAATTGTAATTTTGCTACTGTTATGAATCATAATGTAAATATCTGATATGCAGGATGTATTTCCATTGTTACAAATTGAACATAATTAAAGCATAGTGATTAATCACAAAAACAATATGTAATTATATATGTGTTTTCCGATGGTCTTAGGCGACCCCTGTGAAAGGGTCGTTCGACCCCCAAAGGGGTCGCGACCCACAGGTTGAGAACCGCTGTCCTAGAGGGTAGGAACGCTCTTCCTAAATTTTGTATCCCCAGAGCCTAGCTTGGTGTCTACACACAGTAGATGCTCACTAAATGTCAGATGAGTGGCTTAGGGTGGAAGGCAGATAGCCAGGAGATTGTGAACCGACTGGTGGAGGTGAGAAGGTCGGGCTGGCCTTCAGGGTGCTGAGCCCAGATCAGAGGGAGGGTCCAGAGCAGTCGGTGTCTCTTGTGTACCCTTTCTGAGAGCCTGCTGCCTGTGTCAGGCTCAGTGCCAGGGCCTGGTTTACTGTAAACCCGCAGGATTCTCCCTCCTTCCCGCCCTCCCTTCCTTCCTTCCTTCCTTCCTTCCATGGCCCAGGGAGAGAGCCTCACACTGCTCCCTGGTGGTCAGGGACAGCCCAAGGCGCCCTCTACCAGTGACCAAGTGGCTGCAGGTCCCACTTCTATCTGCTGTGTTTACCTACAGGACATATTTTATTTTAAAAAATAACAAGGGCCCTGGCCAGGTGGCTCAGTTCACCAAAAGGTTGCAGTTCGATTCCTGGACAAGGCACATACCTAGGTTGCGCGTTCAGTCCCCAGTTAGAAGCAACTAATTGATGTCTCACATGGATGTTTTCTCTCTCTCTCTCTCTCTTTAGCCCCCTTTCCTCTCTCTCTAAAAAATCAATAAAAAGCATATCCTTAGGTGAGGATTAAAAAAATAAAAATAAAAATAACTTGTATCATTTTATAAGCCAAATTTTTTTAACGTACAAAAAATCGCCTTTACTCATCTCCCCACTAGCACAACTAAGTTTTTTGTTCCATCTCCTCCCAGCCTTTCCTGGGCCACTTGTGTAGCCAGGTCAAGAGAACAGGGGGTCATGTCCCGGCATTAAGCCCCCTCTAGCGTATCTTCCTGACAACTCACAGGGAGAATGGGACTGTTCACAGGGAGAGAGCACCCTGCCTGGAACGCTTGCTTCTCTCCAGTTTCTCAATATTCTTTTTAAAAATATATTTGTATTGATTTCACAGAGGAAGGAAGAGAGAGATGGAAACATCAGCGATGAGAGAGAATCATTAATTGGCTGCCTCCTGCATTCCCCACACTGGGGATTGAACCCGCAACCTGGGCATGTGCCCTGACTGGGAATCTAACTGTGACCTCCTGGTTCACAGGTCAATGCTCAACCACTGAGTCACACTGGCTGGGCCCTGATGTTCTTGTTAAGGCCATGCGTCAGACTATTCCACTCTCTTCTTTCTTCTTTGAAATGGCTTCTTTAGATAAGTTCATCTTTCCAATCATTTGAGGCCATTTGGAATCTTATTGTCATTGTCGTTTTCTCTCCAGCCATCTCCCTCTCTGCCCTCGGGTCTTGCAGAATTCCATTGGACTTCTCTCTCTGCCACCAACTGGGGACCAAGTGGGGACAGTGGGCCCTTTTGCCCCCATTAAATTCCTTGGAGGATAAGGACCCCAACCCACATCTCTCTATGCCTCCCTATCAGGGCCTCTTACCTGAGTTTCCCAAAGCCCCTTCTTCTTTATTTCTGGAAATCCCCACTTGCACAGTGACAAGCCAGGGGCTCATGACACTGTGGTTTCAAGCCGGGGACTTAGCTGTGAGGGAGAAGGCAGAGCTGTGTATCCTTGGCCACTCCCTTCCACAGCCACAGCCCATCCCACCCCAGAGCCCTGCCAGTGCTGGGAGGCCTAGGGGAAGGCAACTCCCATCCCTCCTGGGCCCATCACTGGTCACCAGAAGCCCCCTGAGCCTTGGTGTAAGAGGCAGGTCGTGCATGAGCCACATGGACCAGGCTCAGCCTGTCTAGCCATAGTTTCAGTTCTCTATAGCTGCCTGACCCTGGGCAAGGTGGTTAACCTTCCTAGGACTATTTCCTTTTTCAAACAATGAGAGTAATGGTGATTTCTTCCTCAGAGGGTCATTGTGAGGATTAGATAATACCCCCCAAAATGCTCAGGACAGGCTTGGCACACACTTAGTGATCAATCAATGTTGGCTGCATGCACCAGGCACCCTACCAGGGGTCAGGGGTACAGAAAAAGAGGCACAGGGACTCTCAGTGGGGAAGGTAATGAGTGCAAAAAAGTAGTAATGGAGTACAAGGGATGAAAGGGCCTGAGGAGGAGGAAGGGAGGTCAGGAGGGCTTCCTGGAGGAGGTAGCATTCCCTCAGACTGGGTAGCCTTCCCTAAGAAGGAAGGAAGAATAGTTGGTGCAGAGAGAACTACAGGATCAAGGACAAAGGCGAGGAGGGGCCAACACGAGGATAAGAGATAGGGAGGGCCTGAGAGGAGACCACCAAGGGTCCAGCCTCTGTCAGGACAGTGAAGAATTCTAGGAGGGAGCAACTGGGCAGATGGCCAGTTGGAAGGAACCTATAGCTTAAAGGTGGAGAATGGGTTGGAGTGGGGAGTGAAACCGAGCAGGTCACTCATGTAGAGGCTGTGAGAAGACCCAGGCCAGAAATGAAGGACTGCCCACGGGGCAGCGGGCTTCTGGCGGGGTCAGAGCTAAGTACTGGGAAGCGGAGGGCTTGGTGAGTAATGGTGAATGAGCAGTTCGTGACTCGAAGGCTGCTGATGGGAGCAGTTGGGTGGATGGTTGTGTCTCTTACCCAAAATGGAAATAACCGGGTGGAAGTTAGTGGTGATGCGGATGGGACTGAACTCAGTTTGAGGCGTCGGCAGCCCCACTAGAGAACCAGTGTAAGGCCTCATTCCAGAACTTGCGCAGAAAATGAGAGGACCAGGAGCAAGCTGACCTGCTCCCTGAGCCCAATGAGGAAACTGTCCCCTGATTTCCCGGTCTTGGAATTTCAGCCACACCAAGGTTCTGCGCACTTTGCCCACCACTGTACTTCCGACCGCTGTGGACAGTCCGGCCCCTCCTTTCCTTGGTCTGAATTCTCCCCCTGCACCCAGTGCCCCTGGCACCCAGCCAGCATCAGCCTGGCCTGGGCTCCCTGGTCCTGGACGCTAAGTGCCTAGAGTTATGGAGGGTGGGCTTGGGGCAGGTCTGGTAAGGTACAGACAGAAGACATGATCACTCAGGGGCGGGGGTGGGAGGGGTGTGAAGCCCTGGGAACCACTGTAGGACCCGGGCCTGTCCTTGCTCCTCCAGGAAGGAATCAGGGCGTCTGAGCCACGGGAAATGAGCTGGAAAGAAAGGAGAGATTGTGGAGGAGTGGGCAGTGGGCCACAGCAACAGAGAAACCCACTCAGACAGCCTGACAAGTGTCCCTTGGCTTAGAGAAATGGCAGTCTCCCGTGACCTTGGGGAAGGATGGAGGGCAGGTGAGGTGGACACACAGAGTAAAGATTCCTCTTTCCAGAAGTCAGAGTGTAGGGCAAGGAAGGGGGTGGCAGAGGGAGGCCGGGAGGACTTGGAGCTCAAGGGACACCCAGAAAGCAGCCACCCAGGGCTCCTGAAAGGGAAGAGACAAAAGGGCACAGGAAACCAGAGCTGCTGGGTAGATCATCGGGCAGCCAGTTGGGGTGCGGGGCCACCACAGGGGATCAACAGGCCGGTGTCAGTTCCCGGCCGGGCTGCGTGCTGGGCTGGAACCACGGGCGGCTGCTCCAGAAAGAAGGGCAGCTCTGCGGGTGCAAGCTTTGCCCGAGGACAGACAGGGACCCCAGAACGGGCAGTCACCCCGGGAAGCCTGCACAGGCCGCAGCCCTGCCGGACTTCAAACCGGTCATGCCTTCGTCTCGAGGGGACAGAGACACCCCTCCCCCCGCTGAAGTCTGGGTCCCTAATGCAACAGAGGAGACAGAGGACGGGAAGGGCGCTCCTCCTCCTGGGAAGCCAGGGGCGAAGTCACCCATTTCTGGGTCAGGAGCCGGTGGGGCTGGGTCTGGGGAGGCTGTGGTCGGGGTCAGGGTGGAGCGACCGAGGGAATTCAGAGGCGGGCGGGGGCTCCGGGACTGGAGCGTCAGACAGAGGCAGCGCCCGGGACTCGGGATTGGGCCCCGCCTGCTCGGATGCTCGGATCGCTCCAGGGCGAGGAGAGGAAGGGGCGGGTCCCGCCGTG